GAACAAAAAGATTCAAGCCCTCACTGCTTTGAGGCGTTCGTTTGGAATTTTTTGCGTTCATTCGTGTTCCTGTTCGTTCTTCTTTGTATTTTCTTGTTCGACATGTTCGTTCGTGTTCGTTCGTTAGGTGTGGACGCACCTTAACATGCGCAGATTAAAAATTTCAAACAAAAGCGAACCATGCGCATGTCAAACGCCATGTTCGTTCGTGCTCGTTCGCTAGGTGTGGCGGCACCTTCCGGCAATGCTATTCCAAGGGCCTTTTCATCAAGATTATATTTTCTACCTTAAGACTGCCTTGTCTGATTCCTCATCTGGCCTTTTATTAATGTTGCAGTGAATGAATTCACAACATTTTCTAAATTCTGCATGCTTCCTTCAGCTCTGCTCTGGCAATTTCATTATTTTTCATAAGTCTTCTGGCCTATTTTCTCCATCTCATGATTATGTCGTGATATTGACTGAAGTAAGTTGCCTGCAATGCCTTAATTATTAATACATGTATCATATTCTAATATTGCCTAGGGATGGAAATAAATGGATTTCTCACTGTTGCAAGTTAAAACCATTATATTATAAGTTACTATTATATTGTCTAGAGTTAAAACTAAACGAACTTAACCAACATAAAAAAACATAACAACATAAAACTTTTAGAATTACATGAGCACTACCAACCTGTTAGACCTGACATCAGCTCACTGGGGCAAATTTGAAAATTTTAATTTAAAAAAAAATTGACTTTTAAATTTAAACTATAAGCATTATAAGTGAAATAAAATATAGATTATTTCACCTATAATGTTTATAGTTTAACCCTTTCGACTCGGATGCCGCCGCTCCGGCATATATATACGTGTAATAGAAAAAATAACGATATTATTGGGGTTGTTCTTAACACAATATACGGGCACGATAACCGTATCTACTCTCCAAGAATATTGTCTTTTTAATTTTTTTTATTTAGTTTTTATTCAGAATATATTTGATATAATTTTTATTAATTAATTTTAACAAACATCTGTTGTAAAAACGATTTTTTAAACAATAACATGGTTATTATAACTTTTTTTTTTCAAACTTTCTGTTTTATTATCATACTAACTGTATTTAAAAGCAATATTACCACATTTTAAAAAAATCCGATACAACAAAAAATTCCGGGTTGAGAGGTATGTATAGCACTATACGTACACCGAGCGCAGCGCAACGTCGAGCAGTCAGGCTACCGAGTGGAAAGTGTTAAATTTCAAATTTTCAACAAATATTAAAGCATATGCCAATCAACAAACTATTATTGTGTTATATTTAGAAACTTTGTTTTATGAGATTCAATCTAACCATGAATGAAAATACATTTAATTTTCATATAGATATTTTATTTTATTTAATACTTTCTTAGATAGCTGATTCCATCTAAATTTTCTTATATTTAAATAAACTATAAAATTAGCAAACTGTGATATTTGTAAGTCACTTACATACATAAATATTATTGTCTGTGCCATATATTCATTAGATAACTTTCCGATTCTATAAATTCTGATGACTATATAATATTTGAAAAATACCATATAATAAAGTTAAGTAAGAATTAAAGGCTCTTATATATACATACATACATACATGTATATATGTTTATATATATATATATATATATATATATATATATATACAGGGCCGGTCCTGCCTTGCATTTGATGCATGCAAAAAATGCGGGCGCAAGCCTTAGGGGGCGCCAAAACGAGTTTCGGAAATTATATTTATGATATAATATTTATATTTTTTTATATAAAATCTAGAATTAGTTATTTAAAATCTAGAATACTTAATAAATTATAATAAATAATTCAACTTAACTAGGGATACGGAGACACAAAAAGCATATTTATTTTGCAATGTGATATCAGTAGAAACAATTAACCGATTAATACTTCTGCGAATTATTAAATAACAACTCTGTTTATTGCTTAATCTACTTATTCAATTTTTTCTTTATTTGAAGTTACCGTGGAATCGAAAAAGAAATTATCTAGTGTTCAATCCCATAAGCGCAAACCTGCGAAAGATTAAATTAAGTGTTGGGCATTATTGACGAAAAATTGCGAGCTGATTTAGGTGAATCGGAACTTGTTAAAAAATATAAATAATTTATAAAAAATGGGGAGTCAGTGCTTAGAAAATGACATGTTTATTTCGAGAAATTGAATTGTAACTTTTGCTTTTGTTGCAAATGTTTCGCATCTGTTGAACGTTGAATGTTGAAGACATGCGTGGAACAAATATGAAAAATGGAAGCAAAATTTACTTTGGAACGAAAATCTTAAGGCTTGTTTATATATAACTAGTGGTGTCCATACTCTAAATTTAATAATTATTAACTATGCAGAAATATTACATATCCAACATAATAAGTTTTTTTTTTCAATATTGTTCAAAAAATTTGTAATTTCTTTGCATTTTTTACTGATTTTTGAACAATACTTCTAAAATACGTTAAAAATTTAACTTTAAAACAACAAGCTGATACTCTGAATATGACGGCTCTTACGATATCAATAAGGAGGAGTTTACGACGCAATTTTGGATATTATAAATGATGAAAAATTAAATTAAATTAAAATTTAAAAAATCCAACATGAAATACGAGTTTTATGTTTAAAAATTAAATGCTAGTTTGTTTAAATATTAACATTGTACATACGTTAAAAATAATTGAAAATTTCAAAATACTTGATTATAACCAACCCCCGAATCGCCTCGATTTTCTAAATAAATTTAATATCAATATATTTTATACGCTTTTAGATTATATCTAATTTTTTGTGCACTAATCCCAGAATAATTAAAAATTAATTTATTTATTTCACTTAATATTTTTGTTAAATTAAAATTATAGAATTTAAGAAATGCATTTCAGAAATAGTATTTATTATTTTGATATCAAGATCTTTATATCAAAATAATAAATACTATTTCTGAAATGCATTTCTTAAATTCTATAACTTTAACAAAAATATTAATTCTTTTGCTATGGTAGTCGAACTTACATCCTTAACCAATTTACTACATATTGAATATTACTAAAATGTGAAATAAATAAATTTAAAATCAATATATTTTATACCTTTCTAGATTATAATCTATTTTTGTGTACTAAATCCAGAATAATTAAAAATTAATTTTTAAAAAATATGTAAATATTTATATAATTTTAATGATAAACTGTTAAAACGGTGAATATTAATAGGGGGGGGGGGGGGCGCTAGAAAAAAAGTTGTATGCGGGCGCCAAGGACCCCAGGACCGGCCCTGTATATATATATATATATATATATATATATATATATACGGTAATAAGTAAGAATTAAAGACTCTTATATATACATACATACATACATACATACATACATACATACATGTATATATATGTTTATATATATATATATATATATATATATATATATATATATGTAAAAATTTTTTACTATGTTCCTACTGCGCATGATCGTTGAGAAAATCTTCGTAATATGGAACCACCAAAATTCTCTCTATCCCGTTCTCTCACCAATGACGATACAGTTTCCAGTATTTTCCGCAAACACGTTCGCACACATTTTACTCTCGTACACACTCGTAATACAACTTCCAAACCAACAACATGTTCGTTTGGAATAAGCTTTTTTATAATAAAATATATCATTCATTTTAATTTTACAATTTTTTTTAAAATTTTTCATAACTCGACGTTTCATCAATTTTTTATTTCACTTTTATTTATTTTTCGTGCAATTTTGTGTTTTTGTGTTGTTTTTCAAAGTTTATTTGTATGGTGAGTTTCTTTACATTGTTTATTTTATGGTTGTTTTTCATATATACTTTTCATATACATTGTTTTACTTATTTCTGTCTGTTAATTATGTATTTTTTTATATTGTTTTAATTTGTAACCCTGAATTATTTAATTGTAGCACTGAAGATGGGTCAAATCCAGACCCGAAACGTATGTTCTCTATAAATAAAAACATTTTTCATTAAAACTGTTTTTTAATTACTGGATGGATGCCCAAGAAACAATTTATTATATTATTTCACCATCTGAAGAAAAACCTCTCGCTTTATATATATATATATATATACATATTTATAGTAATGAAACATCTCTAGATCATAATTAAAACTTTTAAAATTTGCTTTTAAAATATCCACTTGGAGCCTATTTTTCTTGGGCATTTAAAAATTATTTATGCTGCTACTTATTTTTTATGCTGTAACAATCAAGTGATATGTAAATACTGATTTTTCATCACAAAATTGATATTTTAAATGATTATAATAACAAATAGTCATTAATACTATTTTCATACAGATGTGATCATTAAATTGCTTTTTCTAGTCATAACAAAGAAATTAATCTTCAGCTTTAAATGTATGGAACAGCATTGGTTTTATGAAAAATATTCAATTTTTTTAAACTGAATATGGCTACTGAAGCTGTTTTTCTATGATCAATTAGTCCAACTTATTTAGTGATGTCAATAAAGTTTAAATTAAATATTGCTGGTATATCAAGGCTATAAGTTATTTCAACATACTACATAACTCAACGAAATTGATTTTAATGATTTTAATGATGTTTTATTTATAAAGTCAAAACTAATGGCAAAATAAATTTGTGCCTTTATCAAATATGGCACTAATAGTGTGTTCTTGTTAAAACATCGCGACATTTTTGTGGATTGTGATGGATATTAATTTTTCTAATTATAATTAACAGTCTATTTGAAAACATAATTCCATGTACTACAATTTTCACAGCAGATGTTTAAAAATAACAACAATAATGTTTATTGAAGAATAAACATTGTAACAACTTATACTATAAACTATCTATTAAAATTTACTATGAAGAATATGCAAATGCTATAAAATTCAACCACTTTGCTACATAGTTGACCATTACTGTATTTATTATTTCAAACATAAGCGTACATTACCCTGATCTAAAAATGGCAGTTGAAAATTGTTACACAAATCACCATTTTCTAAAAAAACAACAATTTTCTAAAATTTCAATTATTCATTTTTAAGGTCAGTAGAAAGTGGAATGTCTGTGTCTGTAGTCATTGTTGTATCATTTGTATTGAACTCCCATTCTGACCCGGTTGAGACTGGTGTTAAATCCCCACTGTCTTCACCAACTATTGATAAAGAATAGAAGATCGAAAAATAAAATATACGGAAACAATGGAAAACAATGGAATAAAAAACAAATTGGTTATGTAGGCAATATAACAAATAAAATTTTTCTATTGTGTTAGTAGACCATTTTAATAAAAATATTTATCACAATTGATGAGGAAGTCATGGGAAAAAAGGGCAAAATTCGTTGATAGTTTTGTTTAAATATAAGTAGGTGGAATTAAAACAATTTTTAAACTGAGAGATTGAAATGATCTTTAAAATGGTAATTACATCATTTGAACACTAGATTGGGGCTGATTTTGTATGGCTATATATATATATATATATATATATATATATATATATATATATATATATATATATATATATATATATATATATATATATATATATATATATATATATATATAGATATATAGATATATATAGATATATATATATATATATATATATATATATATAAATATATTTCTTTGTTTGATGTATCGCCCTCAAGAACTCACTCATAAATATATATATATATATATATATATATATATATATATAAATATATATATATATATATATATATCAAATGATATATAATAATTAAATATATTAAAATCAAAATATATTTAACAACTCATCTAACATTATTCTAGACAAAGTTTGAAAATGATCAAAAGAAGCAAAAATATCACATCTTCAAGGCGTCAAACCATCAAACCATCAAAGAAAAAGAAAAAATGTCTAGTTACTAACCAGCTAGAGGAGCATCTGGAGTCGGACAGGTATTACCATCTAGACGTAATCCTACGTTACCTAAGTCACCACCGACAGCAGGAAATAAACCAGATATGGATGGAGCAGTAGTTAATGCCATATACCTAAAATATTAGTTTGAAAACAGAATTTTCCAAATTCTCTGTCCTCCAAATGTGCACAGGGATGAAACTAATTTCTAATGATAAAATTGCTTACCCATCACTACTTATAGCAGACAAATCACTGCTTCCTCTAGAATAGTAATCGGAAGGTCCATTGGGTGAAGATGGTCCGCCACTAGATTCTGTGCTTGCTGGACAAATTGAACTGCATATGCTAGATGCCCCTGAAGCACCGTTCCAATTTGATGATCCTTAAATACAACAATAACCATATTAGAGTATAGATAGTTATTTATAATATTATAACTACGAATGCTCAACCAGCAAAAAATAGCAGTTTTGGAGAGAATGGAATATCCAACTAGAATGTTTAAAAAAAAAAAAACAATTTAATTTAGGACTGATAACATTTTTAGGGAGTTTAAAAAAGATTAAAAAATTCCCATTTCTTGGTCAAAAATGGTCAATACATCATTAGATCATTAGACCTATAAAATACGAATCATCAATATCATCTCAAGTATTTATAATAATTATTCGAAAATATTTAGAAAAAACTGTTATTAATTCTTGTTATTTATTTATTGATTATTAATTATTTTTATTTCTCGAATGTTTAATTACAGTATGGTACGGAAATTTCCAGCAATTTGCTTTCACACGTTGACTGCGGTATGGGTAGGAATTGGTTGCTTCTATTATGCCAGTGGTTCCCAACCTTTTCAATGTCACTACCCCTAGCTAATTTAAAATAATTAAAACCACACAAATTTGAACGAAAATATGTTTATTATTCAACTCCATTCACAGCCAAAGCGAAATGGTGTATCAGGCCATTTTCCTCAATAAACTCTTTTAGCGTTTGAAATACGTCTTCGCCGCGGGTAGTAGTGGATAAAGACTTGCAGAACAAATATTCCTCCTTTACATCGTCATTTTTAAAGTATCGTGTAAACATCAATAATTGTGAACACGAAACAACATCTGTGGACTCGTCCACTTGTAGCGCAAACATAGGACTTTCCTTTATTTTGTTTATCCCACTATTATTTTGTTTATTGATGTTTTAATACTATTTCGTGCCATCCCTTGTTACCCCTTTAGAATCTCCGTTTTACCCCTACGGGGGTAATTACCCACAGGTTGAGAACCACTGTACTATGCTGACTATTTCGGGATAGATTTAAAATAGATATGGGACCGTCGACAGTGTGTTGACAGCCGCACCAGGAAAGAAGGGAGGGATGTCGACACTTTGTCATGCACTGCTAGTTTAAACATTTAAAGTATTAAATAATGAGTAAATCCTTACGACTGTTATTTCCTGGTGATATTTCACCTCGGTCATCACGTGTACATGCGGCTAAAGTTGGTGTTCCCGAAGCAGTTTGCGATGGCGTTCTCGGGGCCTGATTTGAACCCGTAACACGCTGCAGAAACCTATCCAACTGGCGCAAAGATAAAGCATTATGTAAAGTCTCCAAAGGTCGGATAGGCGGAACGCCTCCAAAACCTTCTAATGCTGTAAAATAATATAAAATCATTATAGTAAAATGTATACATGGACATGGTAGATAATATAAGATCATTATAGTAAACAAAGTAAATATTGTTTTAATTGAATATTTTCAAATCTTATTAGATTTTAGTGCCTTGCAAACGCAAGGTCTCGAGCTCACATCACTAATGATATCCCGTTTCATTCGTATGTATAGATCAAAATACATATGGTGAATATAGCAAAAAAAAGTTAAAATAAATCTAAACGTTACCATTAAAAAGAACAATAAATGAAATGAAATTTGAAATGAAAAAAAGATGAAATGAAATTTATAAAAAATATATAGATTAATGATAATAAACAAAACTAATGATAATACATTTTCTTCGCTACAAATTAGGTATAAAATTTATAGAAAAACAGAAACTTCACATTCGAGAGGTTAAATATATAGTAAATAAAAATAATGACGCATATATTTTCCAAATATCCTATTTCTAGGTCTAATGTTCTCTTAAATTGTTCTGTGGTACACTGATATCTTGTAACTTTTATTCAATTGAAAGTGGCATTTAGCCTTATGGCAAGTTGCATGAACTTCCCGAAATTTGTAAGAATTGACTTAATTAATCAAAATTGAAAGTTAGATAAAATTTTCAACTGGTTATTTCAAAAATAAAGTTATCGCTTACAATTAAATCTGAACATTTCGATTTTGAATAGAATTTTCTCAAACACGTTAAAATTAACTGTAATTATGTTTATTGCATAGACACGTGCTTGTATGCAAATTTTGATGAATTTTTAACATTGAACTATTTGTCGTAGTGTCGTAACATTTTAGTATATTTTATAAGACCAAGATATTTATTGCCAAAAAAAGGTTCATAAAAATCGGCAAAAACAATTTCAAAAAAATGGCCCGATAGATTTTCACCTAAAACTAATCAGTATCATTTCCAACCAATTGTTCAAACAGCTTTTGATTTTTTAAAATCGATTTAAAATTGAAAGGTAAAATGTGAAAAAAATTTCACTTTTCTGCTATTTACAAAGAAACGGCTTGGGTGATCGGCGCGCAAAATTCGTCGAATCGAATGGCTTTTAAATTTTTAAAATTGGTCCTGCCATTTTTGAGAAAACGTCGATTCACGGCAAAAAACCTGTTCACATACACACACACATATTTTTTTTTCAAATTTGGTCTCATTCGATTCAGAATGGCTTGAAATGTCGAGAAAACATAAAATTTGCATATCGGATCACAAAATGTTACACTTCAACAATGAATAATCAACATTACAAGTTAATTATTATCATCTTTCATTTATAAGATACTAGTTGCACCCGATCATGCGTTGGTGTGTTATGAATTTAATTAAAAACCTTAACTAAATCGCAGAGTTATTACATCTAACACAATTATTATGATAGAACATAGCAAATGTGCGTTGTATTAAATTGATTTGATTGATTGAATTGTATTAAAAGAACAGCGAGTTAATTATTCTAATCAGCATCGTTTGGTGAAACATAGAATTTCTGACAGGCCTCAGAAAATGTAACACACGTAGGGCTTACAATACCGGGATTTCGGGCAATTTTTGTCCGGTATTCAATATCTGTATTGATACAATAATACCGGTATTTCGGGATTACCAAAATTTTTTAAAAAATTTAACTTACGCAATACACATACACAGTTTCTGCTGTGTATATGCTTGCCGGCTCGGCTCATCCACGTATGACACATCTTCTCGATGACGACAAGATAAAGCGCAATAAAGCGATTGTTTATATATTATATGCGACCTAATGAATGAAACTCATTTATAAAAATTATTAGTCGTCCATATGCACGTAACTAAAAATATTACTAGTAAATTTTTCATTAATAATACCGGTATTAATACTTACAAATTTCAAATATCGAATACCGCTATTCAGATTTTAGTACGGTATTGGAAGCTCTAAACACACGCATGGATACTGACTGTCAAGGATCAATAGAAATATTAGGTAAAATATAATTATGGTCAGATGTGCTTTTATATACGCATTAGAAAATTTGAAAAAAAATGCCCAAAAAATAAAAAAAAATCTTAAGGGTTGCAATGAAAATATGCGTAAGCTTTTGTGCGGCGCATAGGCAAGCAGAAACACAGAGAAATTGGTTTTTAAATATATAGATATCATTATGTATTCAGTATAATTGTATTTAACAATTTAACTCGTTGTATTTTCGAACCCTTCTGGAGCTACTATATGAGCTATGTAATAAGATAAATAAAATAGTAATATGAATAATGAAATAATAGTAATATGAAATGACGCTCTCTTTTAACCTTCCCGTAGAAGTTTGTTTTCATCCTAAAATCATATTTGCCTTTTATGACGTTTTAAGCCAGTCTGATTCAAATGATTTGGAAAAGGTATGTGTTTGTGCGCGCGTGTGTGCATGTGAGTCGATTTTTGACGATTTTTATGAAACTTTTTTTGACGATAGATATCATGGTCCTATAGAACATACGAAAATATTACGGCCCTACGACAAACCGTTTAATTTTAAATATTCATATAAGTTTGGAAAAATAATAGCGTTTATATAAAATATATTTCGGCGATAAACTTTATGCACCAAACAGTTCTACAATTAGTGAGGTGCATGGCATCGTGCCTTAAGGCAAATTGCTGGAACTTCCCGTATCAAAAATTATTTCTTTTTTTAAAAACGATTAACATTTTTGAAAAAAAAAATTACTTCGAAAAAAATAGATTTTTGAGAAACTATAAATTTGACAAAAAATTACTTTTTTTTTGGACAAAAAAAAAATTGAAAAAAAAGTTTTCTTTATTTTGACATATTTTTGAAATTCTGAACTATTTTTCAAAGCAATCGTACTGCTTTATCTGCATAGAGACGAACTATAAAGCGCGTAAGCGCCGCGTCGCCGTCTAATGGATAAACATTGGTACGGAACCCATAGAAATGTAAACAAAATTTATACTTATTGTTAAAATCTCTCTAAAATATCTGATAATTTGATTTGCATATGTCTAATGATCATTTTTGACTGCCAAATGGCTTTTTTTACTTCTTTCGTTAAATCTCCGAAACCGCTAGACCTGCCTTTATGAAAATTTGATCAATTCTTCATCTTGTTAATACAAAAAAATGTTTTTTGAATTATTAAAATCGGACGCTCCGTTCTGTAAAAAAACGAGTTACCGTTTTTGGCACTTTTTGCTCCGAAACGGCTGGACCTGCCTTCGCCAAAAACTAATCAGTACGTCTCCTTATCAATACAAATCGAATGCTTTTTGAATTATTCAAATCGGTTGGTCAGTGTTCCCGAAATCCTCGACGAAAATTTGTATCCGCGCGCACACACACACACGCACACACACACATACATCCATTTTTTCTAAGGTATGCCAAAATATTCAGAAATCTTTGAAACGTAAATGGGAAGTTAATAATTTTAAATGGGAAGTTAAAAATTTTCCCGTACCGCAAATCAAAATTCGAGTAATTAAAAATAATCAATAATAATAATCAATAAAAGTTGATCATTGATTTGAAACTTTTGATAGAATTTCGAACCATATTAAATCATTCTATCTTAAATCAATTATTTTGAAATATTTTGGAAATTCTGAACTTTTTTTCAAAGCAATCGTACTGCTTTAACTGCATAAAGACGAAATATCAAAGCACGTAAGCGCCGCGTTGCCGTCTAACGCGTAAACATTGGTACGGAACCCATAGGAATGTAAACAAAATTTATAGTTATTGTTAAAATCTCTATAAAAAATCTGATAATTTGATGTGCATATGTCTAATGATCATTTTTGACCGCCAAATGGCTCATTTTTTTATTTTTTCCACCATATCTACAAAGTCGTAGGACCTGACTTTCCAAAAATTTGAACAGTTCTTCATTTAGTCAATACAAATAAAATGTTTTTTGAATTATTCAAATCGGTTGATCCATGTTCCCGAAATCGTCGACGAAAATTTGTATCCGAACATACATACATACACGCACACACACACATACACACACACAACCATTTTTTCTAATAATAAGGTATGCCAAAATGTTCAGAAGGTTTTGAAACGTAAAGATCTATAAAAATTTTCATTTTCGATTTTTTTGCGATCACTATAACTTGCCCTACGGGAAGTTAATTAAAATTTGGGATAATAAGCTACAATTTTAGGACGTATGCGTGCCTGCACATTATAATTAATATAAATACAGATAATTTAAATATATTTGAGAAATATCAAAAGGAAATAGCGATGTTTAAAATAAAAGTGAAAACTTTTATCTAAATATCTAAATCTTTATTTTGGTTGATTAAGTCAATTATTATACATTTCGGGAAGTTCATATAACTTGCTTTAAGGCAAAATGCCACTTTCAACTAGTTACTTAAATGGCATTTCGGTAAATGTGATCAATAAAATAACATTTTAATCTATTATCTTACCAGATGGCGAAGCCGTACTAGCAATCATATCTCTCAGATTTGGCGCCGACGAACTTCCGCTAATCACAGCTGTGCTGAACAATCCTCCTGCAGCTGCTGCAGTTCCGCCAGTGGAGGCCATTTTCTTGCCGAAACCGAAACCTAACATCTTGAAGTAGCTCATCTGTCCCGCAATACTGTGTCGCTGCGACCGTCTTGGCGACCGACGGGACGTCGAAGCGACCGACGTTGCCGCATCGCCAGTAACGTCTAACGTTTGTAAACGTGACGCATGTTTGTTTGTCGATTGATGGTAGGAATGATGGTGACGGGAGGAGGAGGCATGGACTTTATTGCTGTTGTTGGTAGCTTGATTTACAATTGGAATAATCGTAGTGACATTTGAGGGTAATGGATATTGCGAGGGCGTGACTAGTGGATCCGATAAGGAACGTTGCGCTCGTAAAGGACTAATGGAAGGAACTCTATCTTCTGTGTCATTAAACGTAATGGTGTTGCCAATTTTTGAAATGTCTACACACTCTGAAATGCTGGTGCTCATAACGCCATCACCACATTGAGGAGCACTAGCGCTTTTGAATGTGTCGTCACATTTCTGAGTGTTGCTACACTCAATAATCTCGTCATAAATGGGACTCGAAAAGGCTACGTCGTCTTCTTGAATTTGTGGCAAAGGATTATCTAGGGATATAGCAGGAATAGTGCAAAGTGCCAAGAGAGTAAGTGCGTAGTGCATATATGAAAGAAGAAAAAATAAACAAAAATTAATATTGTTCGAAAATCGTACGCCCGCATCCACCTGAAGCAACTTTAGATTAAGCAGATGTTTCATCAATGTAAAGAATTTAATGAAAGCGGCAAATATGGCTTTTTAATACAAACTTGGTAGAATATAAACTTATTTTATTCGAAGAACGCTTTAAAATTATCATTTTATTACATATCTCAATTTTTATTAACAAAGTAACTTGTTACTGAATTCGCAATATAATTGGTAAAATTTAGCCAATGACTATAAATTAAAACTTGCAAATATTTGTTTTTCTCAAATCTTATTTATTTAGTATCTTCATGCGGATTTTTTCTTTTTCTTTTATTAGATATTCACACACGGGATCAAGAGCTACTAATAACATGAACCTTTTGAATAATGACGTGTCTGAAAAACTAAAAATATTTGTGCTGATATTCTTAGCATTGCTCATTGTCAGTACGAAAACCATCGTCTGAAAGATTTTAGCGCTGCACATCAAAATCCCACAGGAATTTGAAGATACTTACAAAAATCTGAAAATTCCTATAAGCTTCAAATTATTATTCGATTTTATTGATGCATTGGAAAGAAGTTCATAAAAGAAATTGTCAGACGATTTCAACTTGCACAAGCAAATTAAATCAATTTTGACCATAATTTAAAAATTAATTTTATCCAAATAAAATTTACATCTATGATATGAATTTTTACGGTATCTTAATAGATTATTTGCACTCCCGCCATAGCATATTTTTCTTCGCCAGGAAAGGGCTTTTGCAGTCCAGAATTGCCTGGCATTACACATACCTTTTTAAAATCGCATAGACTCCTTAGACAAACAAATATATAAATTTTAAGCTTTAAGCTTATTATAATGCATAATCGTTTTGCTCATAAAAGTGAACTTTCGACACGCCGGGCAGGTTGAAACCGCCTGGCAAATCGTTTTTTCAACTTCTCAATAAATAAATAAAATCGTATAAAGATTTTAAGTTTGAACGATTAAAGTTGATGTGCCGGGCTGAAACCTGCCAGTCGATGATTTTTGTACTTAGCATGCTAAGAATGGTCAGTATAAAAATTTTCAGCCCTACAGAAACACCGTTATTCATAAGGTTCAGTAGCTCTTCGCTTATACATAATTGATTCTTTTTTATAAATAATATGCCACGACATAGTGATCAGAACGCATTATTAAAAAATGATATACCTTAGGGGGCGTCCATTAATCACGTGAGCGAGTTTTTAAGGATTTTTAGACCCCCCCTCCCCCTTTGTGATATTTGGTGATATTCAAAATTACCCCCCCTCCCCCACCAAACATCACGTGTATTTTTAGTTACGTGAAAAAACTGTATAATTTTTAAATTTTTTTAAAAATGTTTGAACTTTTTTATAAAAAATAGTAAAAATAATAAATGCACGTGATATCTTGCTATACCCCTCCCTCCCCCACGTGATATTTCGTGATTTTTTGTCAAACCCCCCCTCCCCCTAAAAACCTCACGTGATTAATGGACGCCCCCTTATGAAATGCCACAGTACAAAGTGTAATAACTTTTGAAGTATACATTATATATAGTTGTTGACATAGAATTTTTAGGATAAAATTGATAGAGTATATTTATTGATTTTTATTCAAAATTTAGAAATATTAAATTTTTAGAACAAATTGTTATGAAAAATCATGCATGTTTAAAAATGCCGCTTATTTTCACATTAGAAAACCTTTTTAGTATCAAAATTGTTAATACAACAGACAAAGTTGCTAATAACGCAACCGTAAATTTTAAATATCTTTAATTAGCCTTGATGCTTCATTGCTGTATATTTGACTATAATAAAACGACATTTAATTGGTCAGTGTGTAACAATATATTAGTATATGCCAGTCTTTTTCATAATAAATAATAATTAAAAGAAAACGTAATACGTTAATTACCAAACTCATATATGTGCAGATAATTTTGGCAACACATTTTGTCAGAGTTATATTATAGTGCAACCAAGACAAACCAACAAAAACAGCAGAAATGGTACTGAAGTTTGGTATCAGAAGTAAGATCAACGACCAAAAGTTGATTTTGTATATGGAAAGGAGTTAGGAGGATTTCAAGATAGGAAAGCAAAAATCACAAAATGTCTCACAAATTTCATACGTTTTTAGAACTATTATATCATTATTAACCGAAATTATTCTTCATTATTACAGTGTAATTACGAAATGTGATTTGAACTAACTAATGATCGTGCTATATATAAAATGAGGAAACCGAACCATTTAACATATTTCAATGACTAATTTAGTTTAGAACTATATATTTATGAAATGTAAAATTGATCACGAATTTATTATCAGTAGCTGACAAACCAATTAACTATTATTTAAATACTTATAATACAAATGTTAAAAATGCACATGATGTGCTGTTCTTCAGAATTCACAAAAAGGCAATTATGAAAATCAAATTAACCTTGGACGCTTCATGTAGTATTCATTTAGCAAACTTTGAATAATTAAATAAAATGACTGCGAGAAATATTACTTAAAGTATATTTTTACATCTTTTTTCAATAACTACAGTTTTATTATAATCAGAATTTATTGCCAAAACTAGCTGTCTAAAAAAAATTATTTATATGTGTTAATAAAAATAAAATAATAATATCGTATGTATATTATTTCTAACAGAATAAAATATTTTTATATAATCTTAGGAATTTGCAAGACATTTTGTATAGCGGGAGGAATGATTGACAATGTTTGATGCACTATTAATATACCAACAAATTAATCATAATTAAATTTTAATTAAAACATTATTCTATATGTAACAAATAAAGACAAATATACGATTACATAATTTGCACATGCTACTAAGGAATTTAATTACGGTTATTATTTGTTGGTTTTAATAGTACAAAAGACATCGTTTTGCAAAATCGACAGTTACACAAATTATAACGATACAGATGAGCTATATTATTTATTCCACTTGCAATTAACTAAATTTCTCTTCAATAATAATAAATTTTAATTATATGCAGTAATGAGTTATATAAATTAATTTTTAATAAAAACTCTAAATAATATTTAACCTTCCGCTATTTTTAACGTGAATATTTGTAACAAGACTACACGTGTCGGACTGTCTGTTTTTTTGTTTTCTCAACTTTAAGTTTTTCAACTTTTCAAACAAAAAGAGGTATTAGTAATTATTTATATTTCATCTACATTGTTATTAACGCAAGCTGAACACGTAAAAGAACATTTACAAGGGATTTTTGAAGACATTTGTGCATTAAAAATGACGCCAAAATTTGTTCTTCGTGCGGACTGAGAGTTCGCAAATATGTAAGGAAGGTTTGAAAAAACTTTTTGTTTTTGTACATAATTTGGAATTGAAATTTAGTTAATTGCAAATCAGAGTTATGTGAATCAGCGCCAATGCCGTGAGCTCCGAATCAAATATGCAAATAAACAAAACATTAGCTATAAATATACCTGACAACAATAATAGCAGTAAAATAATCAATTGTCTACTATTATTATTTTATTATTTGCAAAACTAATTAGTATTTTAGTATATTATTATTTTATGCGTATAAAGAAAAATCTTTGTAATAATAAGATTTATATTTTATAAAAAAAACATTGTAATCTTGTCATTTGATGATATATTTTTCGTTTTTGTGATAAATATATGATAACGCATTGCATATATAAATATAAATATGTGCAAGTAATAATAGATTTTGTACTGCCATAACAAGATTTTCATATTATTTTCATATATTGATCGCAAAAATAATATTTTTAAGAAGTATTGGCAATGTTATAAAAACAAATAAAAAAGCGATTTAGAAGAAAACTCACCCTCGTGCCTGTGGTGGTCGTAACTCTTAGCCCGCATTGCACATTCCGGACTCATTGCACGATTAGAACCATGAGGCTGATTTTAAAAACAAAATTATAGTAAATAATTGTATAAAAATCAAAAGTTTTCATGAAAGGATTTATGCACATCTATTCGAAATTCTAATTCGCTATTTGAAAGGCAAAGAAAAAATACTTGCAAGTGGCATTTTCTTTAAGTTGCATAAAAAATCCCGACATTTGTAAATAATCTTTATCAATTTTATTACAAATTATTGATAAATGAATACGCACGGAGTGATTTCTAAAAGTGATTCATTCATTTCATTCATTTCATTTTAATTAATTAATTAATTTTTATAATATAACCACCTTTCGTAGATCTATAATCTTTTAGTATGTTAACACGAGATACTCTATTGTTATACAAACATGGCCTGACAGATCTTTGTCAATCACCAGCTAATTAACTAATCAGCGCAATTTTCAAATGATATCCTTCGAATAGTTTTTGAATTTTCAAGATCAATTCATGATTTTGGGGTAAAACGCTGACAAAAAAAATTGCAAAATGAATTTTTCAAATTAAACTATCGCAAATTACATCAAATGAACTTTAAAATGCCACTTACACCTTGTTTAAATATAGTACTTCAATTATTTAATTTTTGAAAATTTTAATTATTTTGTAATATTTTTATGTAACTGAATCATCAAAAAATGAAATCGTTTTTTATTTAAAAGTGATAACACTCTTTATATGTAAAACTTAAGTACAAAATATTTTCTGAAATCGATTCATTCATAAATGTAATTTATTATTTCATAATAAAATTATTTTCAGCGTATTTATTTTTATAAAGAAAATATGTTTAATTTTATTCACATAAAACAATAAAAGTATTATAATTTACAAATAATTGAAATTTAAAAAATACCTGCTTTTGCTGCTGGTTTGATAGCTCAGCACTCAATAATTTAGCAAGATCAGAAGCTTCATGGCCACTAACGGTATGACAATTCCTATAGGTGATAAAAAATAAATAGAATATGAAATGTAAAATATTTGTTGATTGTAAATTTCTTCATAAACTGACCCAATAGCAATCGGTTCTGAAATGGTATGTACTCTTGGCTTATGTAAAGCCATATCGGCTCTTGTAGAATCAACATCCATCATGACGTCCTTCTAAAAAAAAAAATAATATTTGTTAGCTCTCATCAGTATATTTAAAATATAAAATATAAAAAGATAATGGTTAGCATATGTGTAGTAATAAAATATTAATACTTATTAAATTATGTGATAAGTATTATTAAAAAATATGAACTGATATGACTGATTTTTTATTTAATTTTAATAACTACTCAGATATATAAATTGATGTGTTTTGAATATTTTCTTCATTTTCCAATTATTACATGAAAGCTTATGGCTTGAGGAAGAGGAAATGTGTTCACTTAACAAAATCATATGTTCTGTTATCTTATTCCGTTAACTTACAACTGTAGATGCATTAGATGTAGTTGTAGATCCAGTATTAGAATTATCTTCATCCATGGCAATTTCTGCCTCTTCTTCAATTCTAGATGGAGCCTCCTCATCGCCGCTCTAAACATGAAATTTGTTACAAAACAAAATACCTTATATTTAATATATACAGCAAAGTAATACTGCGCCATTACAAAAATGGTATGATAAGTAAATAATACTGCTAAACCTTCAATTGAAACCTGATAAACATAAAAAATCGCAAAAATGGAACAATCCATACCAGATAGTGATGAGATTTATTTCAGAACACTTAAATTTATTATTTTTATCATTTAACTTTTAGTTATTATTTATAACTTTTAGTTTTTATTTGGCCATACCGTATAATTTTACTATATATACTTAAAACCAACATACCGTTGTCCTACTAGTCACAGAATCATTTCTGCTGTGTGGTCTAAATCCAGGGCCAGGAGGTAAATTTTTCTGAACACAACAATTTACACCAGGGCTAAAGTGCAACTCCACATGGAACCTAAAAACATATAAATTAAAAATTGATTGAAAAACAAAATATTTTAATAACTTTATTATAATGTAAATGATTAGCTTCTTTACCTCTCTTCAGAGAACAATTCCTTGGTAGGATCTTCATAAAGCATCACGACAATTTGCGCCATATAGTTTAATTCAGAAACCATTGATACATATTCCATTGCTCTACGCCACTGCTCGTCGCATAATACCTGAAAATTAAATTATAGAAGTGATTAAAATAACACAAATGAACAGGTAAATATTCAATGCAATTTAATTTATAATGCTGTATAATGAACTCACATCAAGCAATCCTCCATGTCTTAGTACAGTTAACAAGGAGTGAACATGACTCTCACTTGTAAAGTATAATCTAGTTCTAACATGACGACCAGGACTAGAGACACCATGACTATATCTGTAGTCATTTAAAATAAGTTAATTAAAAATAAGCACTCAAATGAAATAATATCCAATGTATTGTGTGCTTTTCAATTATTAACTTAATAAATGTTTATTTATGCTCACCTGGGATTTAGTCTATTAACAGTTTCATCGCCTGTTTCTTCTATATTTCTTTGTAAATCTGCGCGGATTTTTTTCAGTAAGGGTGTGCAGATTCCTTGGCCAATTGTAAGCTTTTCTTGCATCGTTAATCCATATTCCTGTAAATCAAATACAAAATAAAGTAGTTGAATATATGGAAAAAGAGAGCCATTCGATATTACCTGTGGTATAACGATGTCTGCCAAATATTTTGAATAGGTATATAATTCTTCAGCTTGTTCAAACTGCAGAGTGTGCTGATTATGTTGTAGATCATATTTAATGCAGTCATATATATCAGGAATTTTCGAAATATCGAAAGTTTTATTTTTCTGGCAAAAGTCTTTTTCAATTTTACCCCATCTTCTACCCATTAGTTCCCATGTTTCACCGTGATATAAATTTGCATCTATAATAATACATAATAAATGTATGACTGAATAACACATGTTTTCGCATAAATAACATATATAAATTTCTTAATAATAACAAATATTATAATTTTAGTTTTCGTAGAGCTTCTCTATGAAAAGATAATCATCTATTCAATCATCAAACCCATATTTTTGTGTGAGTAAATATTATTTATTATGTTCGAAATATTCTTAAGACAAGAAATTTTCATTAATTTCTATATTATTAAAATTATCAATTTTATGCTATTACATTTATCCAAGTCCACAATGATTATACAATGACTAAACTGGTTTCAAGTACAAAGTATACAACCAAACGCGATTGTTTGTTTTCATAAACTTCATTTATAAACTGTATTATACATGTATAATACCTTTGGTTTTTATATCGTCTTTCTTAAGTTGTACAATTTCTATAAGTTGCTGTATAAGCTTCTGAACATGTGCACAGCACTTTACAGGATTCTTGACAAAATCTAAAGCCTGGTTAATACTCAAGGCATTTCCTGGATTGATGCGCATTCGATCTTCGACTGTGAACTCTCGATCCTGCTGCATTAGTTCATGAAGTCGAGATTTCGCACTGAAAGAATGGTTAATCAAAAACTAATATATTACAATGTTATGAAAATTTTCTGTCGACTATTGTTATTGTAAAAATTAAATCGAATATTGAGTAACATTTGAGCAGCTAAAAATGTTTGAAACTCGTGTTGATTAAAAAATATTTTTGTACAAATATTATCGAACATTAGAAATTCCAGTTTGAATATATATATATATATATATATATATATATATATATATATATATACGAGGTCTGTTCAAAAAGTACCCGGAATTTTCGTTTTTTCAAAAAAATATTTATTTATTCGTCTACATTAATGTGGTCCCCTTCAAAGTAGTCCCCCCCAGATATAATACACTTATGCCAGCGTTTTTTCCAATTTTCGAAGCACCCTTGATATTCACTTTTTTGATATGTCCTTGAGCACTCTCAGCGATTCGGCCTTTATTTCTTCAATCGAGGAAAACCGCCGTCATTTCATGGGTCTCTTCAACTTTGGGAATAGGAAAAAGTCACACGGAGCCATATCTGGTGAATATGGAAGTTGGGGCATGACTACGGTATTGTTTTTGGCCAAAAAATTACGAACAAGCAACGACGAGTGAGCAGGTGCGTTATCGTGGTGCAACAGCCATGAATTGTTTTTTCCATAAATCGGAGCGTTTTTTTCGGATTGCTTCACGCAAACGTCGCATCACTTCAAGGTAATACTCCTTATTACCGTACGACCTTGTGGTAAGAACTCTTGATGCACTATGCCGTTATAATCAAAGAAAACAGTAAGCAAAACCTTGACATTCGATCGAACTTGACGTGCTTTTTTCGGTCTTGGCTCACCTGGGCTCTTCCATTGGGACGATTGGGCTTTGGTTTCGACATCATAACCGTACACCCATGTTTCATCACCAGTTATGACCCTTTCAAGCAAACTTGGATCGTTGTTGACGTCATTTAACAGCTCTTGAGCGATGTTCATGCGATTGCTTTTTTGGTCAAAATTTAGCAGTTTTGGAATGAATTTTGCTGCCACTCGTTTCATGCCCAAAACATTTGAAAAAATGTTATGACATGAGCCAATTGATATGCCAACTTCATCAGCAACTTCTCTAATTGTGATTCGGCGATCATTCATAACCATTTTTTCCACTTCTTTCACATTTTCATCGTTTGTTGACGTGCTGGGTCGACCGGAGCGTTCGTCATCTTCAACGTCTTCGCGGCCATCTTGGAAACGCTTATACCACTCGTAAACACTTGTTTTTTTCATAGCAGACTCACCATAGGCTTTTTGTAACATTTCACACACTTTGTTACACTTTATTTCATTTTTTACGCAAAATTTAATACAAATTCTTTGACTTTTCAATTCTTCCATTGTAAAAATCGCCGAGCTCAGAAAAACACGTCGAACCTTAGCGACTACCACAGACAAAGTAAACAGTGAATATAGCTGAAAATTTCATCATACTTTAGGGGCATGTATACCAACACAATAAAAAAAAAAATTTTGACAATCAGACACTCCAGACCCGCGAAATTTAAAAATTCCGGGTACTTTTTGAACACACCTCGTATATATATATATATACAGGGCCGGTCCTGCCTTGCATGCGATGCATGCAAAAAATACGTGCGCAAACCTACGAAAGTTTAAATTATTGGGCATTATTGACGAAAAACTACGAGCTGATTTAGTTTGAACGAAACTTGTTAAAACAATAGATACAAATTATAATAGAAAAACATGGAAAAATCGGAAGTCAGTGCATAGAAAATGGCTTATTAAGACCGTGAAACTGAATAGTAACTTTTGTTTTTGTTGAAAATGTTTCGAATCTGATGAACTTTGATACGTGGTTAGATTTATAGAAATGGAACAAATATGAAAAATGGAAGCAAAATGTACTAGAAACAAAAATCTTGAGCTTTTCTTATACCTATTGGTGTCCTAATTTTAATTATTAACTAAGCAGAAATAATACAGATACAAATATAATTGTGTTTTGTTTTCAATATAGTTAAGAAAATATGTAATTTCTTTACATCTTTTAATAAAATACGTTAAAAATTTAACTTTAAAACAACAATCTGATATTCTGAATCAGATGGGAAAGTAAATATGAATACAATTCGGTCCTTACGATATCAATAAGGAGAAGTTTACAATGCAATTTTGGATATTGCAAATAATGAAAAAAAAATTAAAACAAAATTTATAAAATCCAACATGAAAAAACAGTGTTCTGTTTAAAAATGAAACAAGGAAAATGTTTCAAAATCCAAATATTAATATTACACATACGTTAAAAATACTTGAAAATGTAAAATATTTGATTATGGTCAATCCGCAAACCACTTCGATTTTCTAAATAAAATTAGAATCAATGTATTTTATAAGCTTTTAGATTATATTTATTTTTTGTGTACTAAATCCAGAATGATTAACCCCTTTGACTCGGATGCCGAAAATTCGCGAGTGGAAAGTGTTAAAAATCAATTTAAATATTCATATAATTTTAATAATAAATGTTAAAACAGTTAAAATTATTGAGGGGGGGGGCGCTAGAACAAATCTTGCATGCGGGCGCTGAAGACCCCAGGACCGGCCCTGTATATATATATATATATATATATATATATATATATATACATTTTAAAAATATGTACTAAGTATGTTTTTAGAAAACCCATCATTCTTACACACTTGACTTATCACAAATTGGAAACCACATTTAAACAAACAAAATAATTAAAAAAAAATATTTATTTGATGAATTAGCAAACTAATAATTCTTACTCACATATTCTGGTATTTACTAGAATCACAATCATTATCCAATAAACCATTTGTGTTTGCACTCTTCACCATCTGAACTAATATTGGTGTGAGTTCGCCTTCCAGGGCTAGTAAACCTTTCGCAAAAGCAGCTGCGGTCATCTGAACTCGTCCTTCATCAGAAGCGTATATCTTCAAATCATGCCGGAATGTGGAATGCAAACGTAATAGTCCTAAACCTTGAGCTCCGCCGGATTCACCTTTTGTCAAATATGTTCGTATAATAGTGTTGAATAAAAATTTTTAGAGAAAAGAAACCATATTATTTGGGAAACTAATCACCGTTCAGTTGCCTGCTCTGCCCTCCTGGATACATGCACCGGAACATCCGTCCAAGCTCTTCTGCCTGTATTCTACCAGCAGGAGTTAATTCGCCGCCCCATTTCAATATTAGAACCAGAGATGGCTCTTTAGGTTCTCCAGCTAAATAATATATGTATAATTTAATAACAAATACTAAAAAAGAATATAACAGGAAATGAAACATACTATTATCATTAAAAGTAATAATTAACATTATTATATTAGAATTATATCATTAAAGTTTTTGGTACCAAAAAACTGAAGTATAACGATAAGTTATACTGGTCATTGTCATACTATATAGGGTTTCATCTGGTCATTATATGTGAAATTGATTTCATTAAAACCCAAAATAAGTAATAAATTGAATAATTGTCTCAATACCATGCCTAATATTATTAAAATCGTGTTATAATAATGACTATATCGTTTATGAGCGTGATGAAAGGGATAATGTTTGCAAACTAAATCTTGCAGAAATGTGTAAAATCATACTTTGAAAATAAATTCTACAGAAGTGTATGTGAATACAGTTTTTCGTCGACGATATCAAGAATACGGATCAACCGATTTGTATGATTCAAAAAACAATCAATTTCTATTCATAAGGAGACGTGTTGATTAGTTTTTGGCTAAATGCAGGTATAGCCGTTTCAAATATACGGGGCAAAATGTGCCAAAAATGATAAATCAATTTTTAAGAAAACGGATGAATTTCAATGATTTAAAAAAAAAACATTTTACTTGTATTGACAAAATGAAAAACTGATTTTTTGGAGGGCAGGTTAATACGATATTTTATAGAGATTATAAAGAACAAATTTTGTTTATACTTCTATAAGTTCTGTACCAAGATTTACAATGACTAATAATAGGTAGACAGCAGAGCGGCGCGAACGCGCTTTGATATTTCGCTACTAATACTAAAATGGCTATGCAGTGCGAATGCTACGAAACTAAATTTTCAAATTATTTTAGAATAAATATTATATAATAAAAATTTTAAAATTCTCACAAATCTTATTTTTCAAAGTTTCCGAAAATTTCAAAGCATTTAAATTGCGATACTAAAAGTGCCAGCATTTTACTCAACAAGACACAATGCCATGCAGCATTAGTTGATTCAAAATTTTTGAGTTCAATAAATACGATTTCCAAAATTTGATTAGATTAACTATAATTTCGGAAAAAAGATCAAATCCTTCGGGTTGATCAGAATGTTTAATGGTGATAATTATTTAATGTAACAATAAATTATGAACAGTAGCACTCAATTTGTTTGTCGAAATTTATTTTTAAATACCTATATCGTAACAATGATTAATTATAACATATTCGGCAGATAAGATTACACTTAAAAGGTCCAACAAAAATATGTTACAGTATAATTTTCAAATAAAAGGATAAAAACTACTGACTGGTGTCTTACATAATGTTACCCGAATAATCAGTAAGTATTATTATGTAGTTAGTTTATGCCAGCAAAATAATGTATTGCATCAATAGTTTAAGTATGGAACCAACCGTGTTACTCGTACAAATCCAACAATTCAAAAGTTGCTTCAATAAATATTTCGATCACATTATTTTTTATATTACCGATTATGTCGAAGCTGAAATCTTAGAAGTACTTTTACAATTAAAGGTGCATTCATTAATTTTTCTATTGCAAACATAAGATTACAAAGAAAATAAGAAACATAATAAATATATCATAAATGATATAAAATAAGCAAAGCAAAAACTTCATACTCGTGCTGTTAGTGTGTGATGAACTGTTACCATCATCTGAACTTGATCCTCTGGGACGTCCACGAGGTTGGTATTTCATTTGAACTTTACGATTTATGCCAGAAAAATGACCGTACCTGTAAAAGAATTAAAGTATAAATAAAATAGTGTTACTTTGATTATACTGTTAAACCAAATTATAAGCATAATCGTAGAAAATAAATATTAAAAAGTATTTAATAGCAAGAAATATCCATACAGTTATCTTTGAAGACTTGCTCCAACGTCCTTATAAAAAATAGTAGGTATATACAAATCATCGTTACAAAATGAATAAGTTGATCATAAAAAATACCAATTTATCGTTTGATTTCCTTTTAAAATCTCTCAGATTCAAGTATTATAGTATCTCTGATAGAATCTAAAATACAAACAAAAGCTTAATCTTTTTGTTCATATAAATTGAACACACATTATGAGTTGAGTGTTTAATTCTGGAAGAACATATACGGTTTTTAGTTTCTAAATTATATATCATTCTCACACAAATAACTAGTTGGTATTGGTATTTTGCCTTGAGGCAAGTTACATGAACTTCCCGATATGAGTAAATAATCGACTTAATCAATAAAATATAAATTAATTTATAAGTGATTAAAAGTATTCCGAGTGGATTTATTACACCTAGTAATTGAAAACGAACGAATACGTTAACTCGGAGTATTTTCTAAAAGCAAATTTTCAAAAATCAACAATTTTTATAATTAAACCAGTTTCCGTAGAACTTTAATAGTTTTGTATATTCATTAAGACCAAGTACTCTATCATTATACCAAGTAAATCGTCTAATTTTAATTTTAACAAACATAAAGAAAAACTGAAAACTGAATTTTTAAATTTAAACTACTTGTCGTAAGGCCGTAATATTTCAGTAAGCTCTATAAGACCATGATATATATCGCCAAAAAAAGTTTCATAAAAATCGGCTTAATTTTTTTTCAAGAGTTAATTACAAGAAAACGACTCGGTAGATTTTCATTTATCATTCCCAACTAACATCTTTCGAACAGTTTTTGATTTTTGAAAATCGACTCGGTAGTATAAGCTTAAATATGGAGAAAAGTTTAACAAAAACGGCTTGGCAGATCGTTACACAAAACTGACAAACGATAGTCCTCATTGAGATACATCAAATCGCTTTTAAATTTCTGAAATCGGTTCAGGCGTTTTTGAGAAAACGTCGATCAAAGGTCTAATTTTGACAAATGCCAAAAAAATCATACAAATTTTTGCAAACTTTGACGAATTTTTAAAGTTAAAGGAGTTGTCGTAGGGCCGTAATATTTTAGTATCATCTATAAGACTATGGTATGTACAATCAAAAAAAAGTCATAAAAATTGTCGAAAAAAAAATTTTTAACACTTTATTACAAGAAAATAGCCCGGCCGATCTTTACCAAAAACTAATCAGGTCGATTCCCACCCAATATCTTTCGAACGGTTTTTGAATTTTTAAAATCGATTCAGAATTGCGGGCTAAAAAGTGGACGAAATTTTTTTCACTTTTCTGCTATTTACAAAGAGACGGCTTGGCTGATCGTCGCGCAAAATTGATAACCGCTAGTCCTCATCGAGATACATCGTACGGCTTTTAAATATTTGAAATCGGTCCCGTCGTTTTTGAGAAAACATCGATTTACGGCAAAAATATGTTCACGTACACGCGCGCACGCGCACACACACATACATACTTTTTTTAAATTTGGTCTCATTCGATTCAGAATGACTTGAAACGTCGAGAAAACATAAAATTAGCGAATCGGATTTTTTGATGAAAATAAACTTCTTCGGGAAGTTAAAAATAAGCTAGTGAATAACATAAATGATTTAAGTAAATCTATCATCAGATATATTAAATTAAATTAAATTCCAGATATAAAATTTCTCCGACCAATCGTTTTCAGACCAATTTCATGAACTATATAATATAATACATGACACGGTAAGCTTTTAAAAATTGCAGGGAACTTAGTCAACAAACTAAATTTCATTTAACTTTATTTTTATAATTGTTTATATTTAATCAGAAATACATTCTATTTTGTTCAAATTTATCAATTCCATTTGTGTCTGCAAATGTCACATATTTGAACAAGTGATGATTACCAAGTAATTATATAGAAAATAACATGTACGCAGAATATCAAACAAGTATCGTCTAGTCCTTGCACACCTAATATAAAAACTTATCTTATTATAAAAAATTAATTTAATTTAAAAAGAGAAGATACATGACATATATATAATAACCGATTTTCCAATATTGAATTTATAATTAAATTATAATCAAAACATAGTTAGTTGCTAAAAATGGATTTCATATCTTCACCTTGTCCTGGACATACTACAGGACCCGCTGGTCAATTATTTACATTGCTTATGCAATCAGTAATGGCTGCTCCTTGTAATCTATCCAATCCTGATATTTGGCCAGAAGATAAAGGCGATCAGATAGATCAAGGTGAGAAAACATATTTAAAACAGAACTTATTTCACAATAATTTTTAATAACTTGGTAGAATCAAATATTTTTCAGTAAGTTATTTATAAACATGATCGTAAGGTTGTAGCTACAAAAATACGAGTCAAGTCAGATACAATATTTTATGAATTAAACATAAAATCTGATTAACTTAGTAACGTTGACTTATTCACGAATGTTTATATTGAAAAATAATATTTAAACTAATTCGTTTTAAAATCTATGAAAACAAATTCCATATGTAATAAACGAATGTATACTGCTACACTATTCCAAATTAAATATATAAAATTAATTATAAATATATAAAATATCATTAATTATGCGTATTTTGTAGCATTTACAGTTTAATCTTTTTTATTAATCATAATTTGCATGATTATTAATAATAAAGAGTATATTTTCGTTAGATCACAGCTTTCGATAGCCAATGATAATGATGGTTATTCGAAGCAGTTAATATTTTTTACTGATTCCTAAATTCTTTTTACAGATTCCTTGGTATATGATTTTATAGTTGTTGGTGCTGGTTCAGCAGGATCTGTGGTTGCTAATCGATTAAGTGAAAACCCTAACTGGAGAATACTTCTCATAGAAGCTGGCGGAAATCCTACAACTTCAACAGAGGTTTTATTCTTGCCTTATTTATTTATTTTACCAAACTAGTGATTTTTTTTTTCAAATTTATTTATTAATATTTATAATTTTACAGATACCTGCACTATTCTTCAATCTACAGAGAACAGAAATCGATTGGGGCTACTACACAGAACCGGATCCTCGATATTGTTTAGGTTATAAAAACCAGCAATGTTATTGGCCACGGGGTAAGCTTTTAGGAGGCACATCTAACATGAATGGAATGGTATATTTTCGCGGGAATAAAAAAGATTACAATGATTGGCAAGACATGGGAAATCCTGGATGGTCTTTTGAAGAGGTTTTACCTTATTTCAAGAAATCGGAAGATCTAAGGGCGCCTCAAGTGCTAGAGATAGATCACGGTCAATACCATGGCATTGGTGGTAGATTAAAAGTAGATAATTTTTTCGATGAATTGCCTTTAAAAGATATTTTTCTGAAAGCAGCGGAAGAACTAGGTTATGAAAACTTGACGGATACAAATGCATCAAAATATATTGGTTTTGGGTTAGTTCAAGGTACTATAGACAAAGGCACAAGATGTAGTACCGCAAAAGCATTTTTAACCAATACTGCTAATAATCTGCATGTGGTAAAACATTCAATTGTTACAGAAATTATTTTGGATGATCGTAAGCAAGCAGTTGCTGTTAAATTTAGCAGAAAAGGGCAAGTCTATGAAGCAAGATGCACAAAAGAAATCATTGTAAGTTGCGGAACAATAAACTCTCCTCAATTATTGATGCTGAGTGGAATTGGTCCAACAGAACATTTAGAAGAAATAGGAATTACGACAAAAATAGATCTGCCTGTAGGTAAACATTTAGAAGATCATATGTTTATTCCAACTTGGATCAAGTTAAATCAACACACTTCCAAAAGTGTGTCACGTGAAGAATTTCTAGATCAAATATATCAAATGTTTCTTCATCATGATGGTCCTCTGTCTGGTATAGGTCTAACAAATATAGTTGGATTTATCAACACACTTGATGAAAAAGAATTATATCCAAATACGCAAATACATTTTGTTTATTTTCCTAAAAACGATACTCAATCTCTACCTGTAGTGACGAAAGTCTTAGGTTTTCTGGAAGAAACTAGAACATCAATAATTAAATCAAATTTGGAAACCGATATTATTATGATTATGCCAAATATTCTAAATCCACTATCAAATGGCGAAATTAAACTGAAGAGTAAAGATCCATTAGATAAACCCTTGATTATCCCAAATTATTTTTATGAATCACAGGATATGAAAGTTGGTTTAAATGCGATACACTTTTTTGAAAAATTTTTAAGGACTAAAAACATGAAAGACATTCAAGCTGAGTTTATCAAACTAGACTTGCCAAACTGTAGACACACAGAATATTTCACTGATGATTTTTGGGAATGCATGATAAGAAATATTGGAACCTCTGAGTATCATATTACAGGAACTGTTAAAATGGGATCGGTATATGATTCGACATCGGTTGTCGATGCCAGACTAAAGGTTCACGGAATAAGAGGTTTGAGAGTTATAGATGCAAGTATAATGCCTAAAATAACAAGTAGCAATACAAATGCGCCTACAATTATGATTGGAGAGAAAGGAGCGGACATGATAAAACACGACTGGTCATATTACAATAAATAGATTCTTCTCATTTCAACATAATCATAAGTTTAACACACTATATGTACAACAGGTTTTTCAGTACATGAGCATGATATAATGCATGATTGTAATATATATTACAATAATTAAATCTTATTTGTAAATTATGAAAATAAAGTCATATTGCCAATTTCCATATTTAAGGTGAAGAAGAACTGTGTTTTTTATTTGCACTTTTCATATATTGGCAACATTTAGATCTATTCTGACCATTATAGAGACTCTTTTGATGGTCAGTGCAAAAATAATTCGTACATCCACCAGGCCATCATCGCCACAAAACAACT